CCAAAGCTACTTGATCCTCACAGGGAAACAATGTGCTAGTTGCTCCTGCTCCTAACACAGACGGTTTTCTTTCAGATATACATGTGTTTCTTCAACTAAGCTGCATAGGCCTATTTGGAACAAAATGAGCCTTTCTAAACCTTGAAGCTATGAATTCATGGATGCATTACTTTGCAAAAACTAACTCACTTCTCACAGGGAATCCATGCACTAGATGTTGCCGCTTTGAACACAAATGGTTTCTTTTTGACATATACATGAGTTTGTCTTCCAGCTGATTAAGTCTACTTATGACAAATTGAGGCTTTCTCCTCCTTGAAAATTCTGATTTGCCAAATATACCCTTCAAAAATGATCTCAATTATCACTGGGAACAATGTGCTGGATGCTGCACATCATAACATACAGGGTTCTCTTCTAGTGAAACATGTGTTCTTTGACCGCAGCTGAATAGGCCTATTTGGAACCAAAGGAGTGTTATTCCAACTAGAAAGCCATGGTTTTTAACCAGTATTCCTTTCAAAAGTACCTCAATTCTCATAAGTAAACAATGTCCTAGATGCTCCTGATTCTGCCACAGAGGGTTTAATTTCGAGAGACACAAGTGTTTAGTCAACTCAGCAGAGTAGGCCTCTTTGCAGCAAAATGAGCCATTCTCCACCTTTAAACCTTGATTTGCAGGAAGTACACCATCCAAAACTAATTTAATTACCACAGGGAAATAATGTGCTAGATGCTCCTGGTTCTAACACACATGCTTTTCTTTGAGAGATACATGTGTTTCTTCACCTTACCTGAATAGGCCCATTTGGAACCAAATGAGCATTTCTTCACCTTGAAAATTCAGATAAGAAGAAAGTATTCCTTTCAAAAACCCACTCAATTCTCACAGGTAAACAATGTGCTAGTTGCTCCTGCTGAAACACACACAGTTTTCTTTGCAGTTAGACATGTGTTTCTTCAATAAATAAATAAGCTGATGAAGCTTATTTGGAGCAAAACGAGCCTTTCTCCACCTTGAAAAGTATGAATTGAAGGCCATATTCCTTTCATAAACTAACTCAATTATCACAGGGAATAATATGCTAGATTCTGCAGCATCTAACACAGATGATTTCCTCTGAGAGATACATGTGTTTCTTCTTCTAA